CTCAGTTTTGGGAAATTCCCATGACCTACTTTCTGGCAGCGACTTCCCTCATTTACTAAGGGCTTCGGTTGGCCAGTGTCTCAAAGAATGTCTTAAGCAGTGTGATCTCATTTCATCTGCTTTTGTAAATAGATAGAAATTGTGTTTTTGTTTTGTTTTGTTTTGTTTTTTTAGAATTTTTTTATGTAGTAAATGCCGCTGCATCTGAACGCACGTACTGGAGATTTACTACTAATCACAAGAGCGGCTTTACTGATGAGATGCGCATGAAAATCGCATTCGATTGTTTTGCACAGCCCTAGTTGTTACATGTGTGTAGTTACAGAAATATTACAGCTCTAGACACTTTGTACCAATGTGTACTTACACTGTGGTTACATACTATGTACACATCTAGTTACTATGTAAGTACACAGGTATTAGGGCAATTTAAAATAAATTGGGACCGAAATTTCTTCTTACCACAAGTAGTTTTTGTGGTGTCTCAAACAATTCAGTTGTAACCACACAGGAAACAAAACAACTGACAGCTGTCACGTTTTCTGCTTTTATCATACTTGGAAAGCACAAACTCCCACACAGCATGTCAATCATACGCCGTTTCTCACCTTCCTCTCAGTTATGGTTCTGTGATGTGTCGCGAGGGATGTAATGTTAAAGCTGACCTCAAGATAACTGCAAATTTCATACTAAGTGTGAGTGTGAATCAGTTCCACAACATAATCTTTTAGATTCCCTCTTTTGTGGGCCATTAACAGCCATTAACAGCTTTAAAACAGCTGTCTTTACTTGCATAGGGGAAAAATTAAGAGTTTCAATTTGATTGTCTTGTCTTCAATTAACTATAGTGAAAGACTCATCCCACATTCATCCTAGACTTTTGAGAGAGGGAGAGACCAAGTGTCCCAGTCAGTGTGTTTGACTTTGCTTTTTTAATGGTTCAGTGCTTTAAAACATGTATAGATGTTAAAAACGTCTATAAAAACAAGTATAGAGTTTAAAAACATCTTCTTAAAGTGTATTTGACAAATCTGCCACTTTGCTGACATGGTTTTAGCTTTTCAACTACTGTAGACAATCTGCCCAGACATGCATTTCCTGACTAATACCCACAATATCATAGCGAAAGAAACCGACTCGGTGCTCAAGGCACTTATTTGAGTTTCTGTTATTTAATTCTAAACACACAATGCTGGTTTCCTGTTTCTGCTCACTTTATATCCCCATTGAAAATAAATGAGAGATGGAAAAAGGGGCGAGTGGTCCGTCACCAGGGAGCAAATGAGAGAGGTCAATTTTGTTTTGCAAATCCAGTCATTTTCTTGGCATCCCAAGAGTCCTCTTCTGCCAAAATCTGTTTTAGCCATATGGACTGTGTGCATGTGCTGTATACAAATGTATGTCCTCTGTCTGTACTTTAATGGTTTCACAGAGCAACAGAATTTAAGCTGCTTTCGGTCTGCTTAATTTGTTACTGGTTTTACAAATAGCCATACCATTTACCAGTACCATTTAGCTGATCGAATCAGGACATTGTGGTCATCTGAAATACTGCTACAGTTTTTTTTTTTGTTGTTGTTTCTGAATGTTCAGAGTGTGTTCAAGGCTCTATGGTTGAATCAGATTGTTCCATTAGAGTGACAATAGAAGCTATTGACCAGAACTATTGAGTGGAAAAAGTGCAACTACAGTAGCTTGTTGAATAAAATCAGTTATAGCATTCAGATTGATATACTTTGATTCTTTACAATATGCGTGTAATGGCTGAACGAAATAAAACAATATGTCCTATAACCTAACAATAAAAATTGTTTTGTCTAAATAAAAGCTTGTTTCTGCCACGTGATTTAAAAAAAGGAATTGCAACTTTTCATAGAGATATAAACCCGCAATTCTTTTTATATTTTATATATAAAAATATATTTAATAATGTGTTTCTTCACACATTCTTACTATTAACTAACTATTAACTATTACTTTTGCCTCAATTAACACCTAGTTTGCTGCTTTTTAATAGTAAGGTAGCTGTTAAGTTTTGGTATGGAGTAGGATTAAGGGATCTAAAATATGGTCATGCAGAATAAGGTGTTAATATGTAAGTACTAATAAACAGCCAATATGCTAGTAATATGCATGATAAGCAACTAGTTAATAGTCAGAATCTAGTGTCCCTAATCTAGTGTTTATATCTTATATATATATATATTTTGTATCTTTGTATTTTTTATTTTATTATTAGTATTATTATTATTATAATTTTTTTTTTTGTATATTAAAGATTTTGTACCAGACCCAAGAATTGCTTACAGCGTTCATGATTAGTGATATTTTATAATGAATCAAAAATTATTTTTATTGTTATTATTAATAATATTTATAAAATAATGAGTCATATTTATAATGCATATTTAGGGCCCTATGAAATAAACTTTATGGTTTTCCAAATTCTGTTTTTGCCCTTTTAATTTTTCTGGATTCTGTTTTTTTCTGAACTCCATTTTAATGGTTAAATTAAAGTTTATTAATCAAAAAGCATGTCTTGAAATCATGAAATGTAATTTAATAGTAATTTATTAAAAGTTTAACAAAAAATTTTTTCCAAATTCTGTTTTTGCCCTTTTAATTTTTCTGGATTCTGTTTTTTTCTGAACTCCATTTAAATGGTTAAATTAAAGTTTATTAATCAGAAAGCATGTCTTGAAATCATGAAATGTAATTTAATAGTAATTTATTAAAAGTTTAACAAAAAATGTCATTTTAGGGCCCTATGAAATATGTACTCAAAATTCTGGTACTCAAATGAAAGCGTAAAACATTAATTTACTTTTCTTGTAATCCAATGAAAATTAAACCCTTTCAAATTTTTTGGCAAACAAAATGCTGCACAACACGTGTACTGATAAAACATGGAAGAAAAATTGTGTGATTATTCCTTAAAAATACAGTTTTAATAATAGTTGTATTAGTAGTAGTTATTATTCTATAGTATAGTACATTATTCTATACAAAAGTAATATATTTCTGTCACAATTTCTTCAAGTTTAACCTGACGTTTATCTTGATGGAGTTTTGTTTGTGTGATATGATGACAGTTTTTCTAAAATGAAATGGTCAAATGCTCAGAAAGTGACTCTTAGAGCAGCTCTGGGCATGTGTTTATGTCCTCATTTAGTCAGAGGGCAGATGCTGAAAACACCTGGAGCACCTACACGCACTTCAGTTTGTGTAGTAAACAAAACCCAGGGTCTGAGCCATTCATTCACACCATAGACTGTACGATTCACACAGAAACACTCAGAACATGCAGGATTCATATTTAAAGGGGTCATAAGAAGCGATTTCAAGTTTTCCTTTGTCTTTGGAGTGTTACAAGCTGTTCGTGCATACAAGATCCATAAAGTCTCAAACCCAAAGAGATATTCTTTATAAAAGACTGGTCCACGCCCTCCTAAAATACCTCATATAAACACGCCCCCACATGTCTACGTCACTGTGTTGGACGATTTGCATAACACCGCACAAATGTTTACACAAAGAAAGAAGGCCTAACTTTTATTCTCGCTGTAGTAGCTGCGCCGCCATGTCGTGGAGATGCTGCGTGTTTCCAAATATGGTAAGGGGTGTAACATTTCCGTCTCACGCTTGAGGTATTTGGCCAGTCACAACGCACTGGATAGCTGGCCAATCACAGCACACCTAGCTTTTCAGACCGATGAGCTTTGTAAAAATCGACGCGTTTCAGAAAGGCGGGGCATAGAGGAGAAACAATAATGTACAGTATGTGGGAAATAATGTGTTTTTGAACCTTAAACCGCATAAACACATTTCATTACACCAAATAATGTTCTTTTTAGCATCGTCATATATGACCCCTTTAAAAGTCTTTTTGCCGCTTAATATTCACAGACACTAGCCCATTCCGTGATCAGATTCAACTGAACTGACGTACTTTCGATTTATTCGTACAAAATTTGGCAAATTCCATGACATTCCGCATCATACAATAAATTCAATTTTTATGACTGGATTCCATAATTGTGTTATGGAACAATGTTTTCCACATCACAGGGCACCATAGGGCCCTACATATTGTTTGTATTTATGTAGTATAATGATCATTTATTAGTGTCAGAAAGCAAAAAAGTTTCATTTTAATTTGCACAAAAGTTATTAGACAATAGACACTAACATAATAAATAATATTTAATTAAAAAAGCAACATCTCTACTTACTTTATTGTAGATTGACTAATCTAAAACCAGAGTCTCTAAAATAAGAGATTCAGCAGGTCATTGTGTTTGTGTTCAGGGGGCGCCTCATGTCTGATCTTGTCTTGGGTGCCGTCATGTGAGTCACGACTTCATATATCACACTGATTCAGATTGAGGTACTTTTATTGGCTGTTTAAGAATGTGAGATCCTAAGGTGTGACACGCAGGTGATAATGCATGTCAGTGCAGAGAAAGAGAGAGAGATGGCGAAAAGAACAGAAAGTGTGACATCCTTCACAAACTAAATCTCTAAGATATATATAAAAAAAGAGTAAATTAATCCCAAGATGAAATGATCTGCTGAATTATTAAACGCTGAGGTCAGCCGTTATGGAATAACCCAGTTCAGCTTTCCTATAATTAGATAGAGGCCGAGTGGGTTGCCTTGGAAACGGCAGATTTATTGATTTTGCACTGTGAAGCCATATCGGCTTCAGAGCAAGAATGGAAAAATAACACACAGGCGTGAGGGATGCGCATTTATCAGCTGGCCTTTTCCCTCTAATGAGAGCAGCTTGGCCCGAGCTCCGGGGGCAAGAGTTCAGACACAATGATCTGGTGCATATGTGCACCACCGTGTGTTCAAACTGAGTCACAGCTGCTTTACAAATGAAGTTTGGTGCAGCCTCTAGAGGACAGGAGCAGGGAGGAGGTGATTTGATTAGAGAAATTCACTGTTTGACTCTCTTTGTGCTAATTCAAGACGAATGATGTGTTTCTTTCAAACAGGTGTAAAGGCGTTTGATCCAGAGGCAGAAATACATGCGGGGGTATGTCACCATGAGCATATAGCAGCCGTCGGATACTCACCTTGCGTATGCTGAGCAAAGCGGCGAGGGTCGGGTCCGCCTCAGTCTCCTGTGATTGGACGCTGGATGGAATCAAGGTGAATGGAACACAAAGAGCAGGAGCTTAACCTGCCAGAGGGAGATGAGACACGGTGAGTTATCTTGTGTGTATTTATAAAATATGTCAGCTCTTAAAGCAGTAGTTCAGCCAAAAACTCTGAAAATTCTGTCATCGTTACTCACCCTCATGTCGTTCCAAACCTGTATGACCTTCTTTCTTCTGTGGAACATAAAAGAAGATATTTTGAGAAATGTTTTCATGTTTTTTTTGTTTGTTTGATGATACTAAAAGTCAATGGTAACCAAAACTGTTTGGTTACTAACATTTCTTTTATGTTTAACAGAAGAAAGAAAATCATACAGATTTGAAACGGCATGAGGTGAGTAACGATGACAGAATTTTCATTTTAGGGTGCACTGACTGACTTGATTGACTAATCTGCAAGTATTTGGCCAGGTTGAGATGACCAATAACTGTATCTGCTTGATCAAATAACAGACGTTTTAGAAAAAATGTATTTTTCCCAAAGTATTTATTATTTAGTAATGTTAACAATTTTATTCAATTCTACACCGACAAGGTGCTTCATAAAAAATGAATATTTAAAAATATTAACATAATATATCATTTTATTTAAAGTGCTGTTTTGATAAACCCTGGGTATATTTTGCAATAATGAAGAATTGCCGCTTCATAATCCAGAATACTACACTTACAATTTACCAAATTAAGTAATAAATAATTTTACACTATTTTTAGATAAATAATCATGCAAATCTGTGACCTTTTTTGTACTTTCATAAAAAAAGCTTTCCACTCTTAATGTTATTCCGACACATTCATAATAATAATATATTATAATAAATATACTCAACTCAAACATTATTATTATTTGAGTATTTATTATGTTCATATTTATTATTATTATTATATTAATGTATCAGAATAACAATTTGAGTGGAATAATAATAATAATAATAATAATATTTATTTTTTAAATGTGTTAAAGTGTTAACGTATATAAATAATAGTGTTTATTTAATTATTTACTAATGTCTATAATTATGAAATATTCAATTTCACTAATTGTCACTCTTACAACTTACCAAATAAAACATTTAATGGGCATGAAATACTGATTTGAGTTTAAATTATTTTATTATGTGATATGAAAGAGGCCTCGGAGTGAAAAGAGAGACATAAAACTAGATCGGCTACCAGGAACAATGGTCAATAATACAGTTTATCGTCATTATACAAACATATTTAACCACTCAGTGCTTTGACTGATCAATCAGACTCAAGTATATAATAAAATCAAACATAAGCATTATTATAACATTTCAATTGATATAAGGAGTCACTGCAGCACACATATGCAAGAAGCAAGTCTTTAACATCACCTAACCGAATGCAATTGTAATCCAGAGTGCTTGATGTTTCATCCAAGTGTGTGAAGTGTTTTACGATTAGATGATACGATTAGATATGGAATAAGACAAATAGAGAGTGAGATTATAGTGCAGGAGAGAGAGGTACATAAGCCAGATGGGGCCACTGTGTAGCAAGGGATAATTCAGGACACTGAATCATTACGACAGTCGGTGGATTGTCTGTGACCAGTGTGTGTCATTGAGGCAGTGTGTGTGTGTGTTTATTTGGAGCGTCCCAGCACGTGTCTCTCACATGTGCTGCCTCACGGTCGCGCCCTCCCCCAGACGTTCAGCTACTGCATGTGCACCACCACACACACTCTCACACACAGTTCCAGGGGACCTGTGGGTCAGTTGTGGGATTATTATGCAGCTAGAGAAGTTTCAGATGGTTCCCTGAAAGGCAGATTTATCCTGCGCCCTACCTCGCCTCGACCCGCCATTTAATTACGCCTCTTTAATTTGATTAGCAGAAAGTGCGCGTGAGTGAGCATTTAAAGGCTTATTCACTCTGAGTGTGTGCACTCGTCTCTCAGCTCCTCAGCTCCTCTCTCCTCGAAAGCATGTGCGGGAATTAAAAAGGAGGAAGTGGAACTTTGACGTGGATTTTGCTTTGATGCGTCATCCGCTCACGTGTAGCTTCAGCCACGAGATTCAAGAGGATAGAAACTCTCATTTTTAACTTGTTCGTACTCAAAGAAACGCAGCAGCTGTTAATAATACATATTTTTTTTAAATTGATTTTCTTACTAGATGTGTGCTAAAATGTGCAGTGAGGTGCAAAAGCCTGAGGAAATATGGGAATAAAAACATATTTATTTGATTTAAAATGTTAAAAATCATATAACTATTAATACAATTTTGTTGACTTGTTTAAAAAGATTTGGAATCCAGATTTCCACTGTATATTTGCATGCATAAAAAGGTAAACAAGAAAAAACATTATTGTTATTATCAAATGTGTTGACATAAAATTAATAAGAAATATTTATGATTTTCACATTCTCATATTCATGTTAATAAAACATTAACAACCATAATTTTATTGAGATTTATGTATGTTTGTTTGTTTTTGTTTTTTTGCAATGTATTGTTTTAAGTGTGGTGAAGCAGTGGCTGTATTTTGAGCCCAAGACGAATTTTCAGCTTAATAAAGTAGACCTTAACCTTAATAGTCATCATCATCATTTTTGAATTAATATTGTTTTTGTTGTTATTTTTATTTAATAAATGAAAATGTATTATTATTATACATTATAGTATTATATATTAGCATTATTATTGTTATTAATATTGTTTTTGTTATCATTGTTACATAAATTATATATATGGAAAAATCTTCAATATTGCAAAACAAAACAAAAAAATGCAAAACAGAAGTATTTTCACTAGTATTTTGAACCATACTGTTTGTGCATTGAATTGATGCACTGAAGATTTATAATGATGTGTTTACTGCTCTAACACAGTTCTGTTGTAGATTTATGCATTATGAATGTATTAATATGTTGAAAAAAAACACTGAACATTAGTATCTGAAGTATGTGTAAATGACAACACTGCAGATGGCAGAGGGCCCTTTGTAGCGAGAGAGTGAAGAGGAAGATGAGAGCGGAGGGTTAGTGATGCAGGAGAGGTGGGGCTCACAGGGCTGATGCACAGGAGCCGTGGCAGGAGGAGGAGTGTGTGGAGAGGGAGAGAGGAATGGGATGGGGTGAGAGAGAGAGAGAGAGAGAGAGAGAAGTGTCATCCTACCAGCTCAGACTCCCTGTTACCACAGATAGATTGCAGACAGCTTTGCGAGAGGAGGGAGACGGCAATCATGCACATTTTACAGCCCCATTATGTCAACAGGTTAGAATATAAGTGTTCTTTCTCCATCCATCCCATTCCCTCTGTTTGTTCAGTCGTGTCTGTTGATGTACGGGCAGATTGTCAGTTGGACTTAATACTGTGCTATCCAATAGAGAGAAGTCATTTCATTATTGTCAGTGGGTGGATATCTTGTGTGTGTGTGTGCGTGTGTGTTTAATGAAACTTAAATGCGGGATTGCATTAGAATATGTTGCATTTCAGTTATTTGCAATGTTTGCAGGCATGTTGTAGGCTTAGTAGATTTGTCATGTTTTGGTCATTTGTAATATAGCACTATCTTCATGCAGTGAACTAATAATGTAACACTCGTGTATATACTATGTGTTGTTGTGTTGAGCTCTATATACACACGAGCATTGCCTCACATCATCTGGACTCTGTGCTGGTTCACGGAGGTGGGTCGGCTTCATTTGCTGTACACCGCTAGTGAGTTCATAACCTCCACATGTAGACCCAGTCTTCTGTTGTTGTTCACTACCAACTGAGGGACTTGCATGAAAGTGTTGCTTATGTATTTTATTGTGGTTTTGGAGTCATGAAGGCAGTCACATGAGTTTAACACATTAAACCGGTTTGTGGTTTGGTCTGTTGCTGTTCCTTTAGTTTTTGTATTGTGATGCAACACAGTTGATAGACAAATTCTGGCGGTCATCTGAGGTGAATGATGCCGTGTGAAATTATTTTAAACAGTGCCACCGTGTGGTCACCACATGCATTTATTCTGCCCACTTACTTAAAGGGATTGTTCACCTAAAATGAAAATGCTGTGAGCATATATTCACCCTCATGTCGTTCCAAACATTTACATTACATTTAGTCATTTTGCGGACGCTTTTAGCCAAAGCGACTTATAATTGGGGAATACATAAAGCGATTCTTCTTAAAGAGGCAAACAGACACAGGAAGTGCTCGTAATACCAAGTTTCAGGCATTGTTCAAATAAGTACAAGCTAAAAAGGAAGGAATAAATAAAGAGAAAGATAATTATCTTTTTTTTTTTTTTTTATAAATTTAAGATGAAGTCAAGTAGCGTCGAAAGAGATTAATTTTCAGCTGTTGCTCAAACCTTTTTGAATGACTTTCTTACGTGAAACACAAAAGATGTTCTGAAGAATGTTGCTAACTGAACAGTTTTGGTTACCATTGACTTCCACTCACAAAAAAGGACACATTTCTCAAAATATCTTAATTTATGTTCCACAGAAGAAAGAAAGTGTTGGAATGTTTTAGTGTTAAAATGTCCCTTCTGCGCTTAATATGCAGAAACAGAAAGTCCTTCATTAACACTGTCTCTCATTATTGTGTTTGTTTGAACATTCTGCCTAGCCTGACATAGCAACAGTAGCTCACAGTGGTGTGAGTTTAGGAAGGGACTGTCTGTTAGGCTGACCAGTGACAGACAAGTGGAGTGTTTGGGCATTATTCCATTTGATGATTTCCATTTTTACTGTTAGGCCTTACAATACGTACTGTAAAACAATGGAAATAATAATGAAATGCATGTTACACTACCTTCCAATAATTTAGGGTCAGTAAGTTTTTTCTTTTTTTTAAAGAAATAAATACTTTTATTTAGCAATGATGCATTAAATTGATCAAAAGTGACAGTAAAGATATTTATAATGTTACAAAAGATTTCTGTTTCGAATAAATGTTGATCTTTTGAAATTTCTATTCAAAGAATCCTGTATCATAGTTTTCCACAAAATATTAAGCATTGATTTATATGATATGAAAACATATTAAATTATAATATAAGTTAAAATAAGTTATTTATAATTCTAGTAATATTTCACAGTATTAGTGTTCTTACTGTATTTTTGGTCTTGAAATAGAAATAGAAAATAATTTCTGATTTTACTGTATACTTTTTTCCCCTCTCCTCTTTTTCTCCAGGTGGCCGAATGGAGTGAAGAGAAAAAGAAAGAATAGTCAATGCTCTATGAAGAGCACGTCTGGTAAGTCTAAACGCCTGCAATGCCCAAACATGCCCCCTCTGTGTTTTGAGACAAACAGATTTTGAATGCAGCTATCAAAAATAAATATTAATATCTTTGAGAATTGTTAAGAACAATAACAATATATATACACACACACACACACACACACACACACACATACATACACACATATATATATATATATATATATATATATATATATA